TCTCTTGTTGTGTGTGCAGGAATCTAAATTATTTGTTAGTTTTACTGCATCTTGGATAGAAGGTTTTCTAGCCTCTGCTTGTACAGGACCAATGAAAAAGAACCTGTCTTTAGTTGAACTGCTCTTACTAGTAGGACTTTGTTTTTAACATTCAGTCCGACTCTGCCTTCCTGTAACTGAGATCTATTATTCGGTATTCTGCACTCTGGAATGGTAGAAAATAAGTCCTAATGTACAGTAGGATTCTATAGGATATCTTTTCAGTTATTTGTAGAATGCTGTGAGAGCTTCTCTTTCATTTTTCTTTTAAGGCTAAACATACCTATTATCTCTAACCTCTCTTTTCAGGGCTTAGTTTCTAGTTCCTCAGTCATCTTGGTTGTCTTTCTGTGAATTTGTTCCATTTTCTCTTTAAGTATGTGGTGCCCAGAACTGAACACAATACTTGAGGTGGGATCTTACTAAGGCAGAATAAAATGATTTATGACATTAGCTGAGGCAAATTAGTAATGTGTATTGGAATTGTCCCTAGTAACAGTTGTAAATGTTGCCCTTAAAGTTTGGCAACTGCTCTGCCCTCTTCAGAAACTGGTTTTAAAAAAAACATACAATCATAGAGTTGGAAGGGGCCATTTAGGGCATTAGCTCAAATCTGTTGCAGGTTCAGGAATTCAAATTAAAGCATCCCTGATAGATGACTGTCCATATATATATAATACATATGTGGGGAAAAATATTCATTTAGTTCACATGAAGTGCAGACCTAATTTTAGAATGTAGCATTTTGACATTGTGGAATTCTATTGATGTATGTAATACTTTCACACACATCTTTCACACACATCTATAACAATTATATTACCAAGCTGACCCTTTAAATCAAAGCCAGTCTGATGTGCCCAGAGGGAGTCACCTTACCTTTTTGGTCCAATAAAGGAAAAAAGGAGGATTCTGTCAGATATGGGCTGGAAATGGTTTTGGGAGTCTTTGGAAAGAGTTGGCTGGAGTCCTGGATGAGGGCTTAATCTCAGGCAAGATGGGAGATTGAGCTGTTTTTTATTATAACTCTAGATTTAGAATAATCCAAAACATTTCAGTATTGATACTAATTTGGCAATGTTAGATGTTGCTAATGCATCTACACTAATTTGTAAAATGAAGAGACATTTTAACATGTACTATACAAAATGTACTGCCATTTTGTAATTTTAGGCAATTCTAAAATATCTTGCAATATTTCAGTTTGTTTAAAAAATGGTTAGCAATAAACTGATCTAAAGTATTATTTAGGTCTATGTGGTTTACCTGTTAGTTTCAAATAAGGATTATCCTCAGAGTGTATGTCTATTGGGAGAATAGAGATGAAACTTGTATTTCCATGTACTGCAGAGAAACATTGATATTAAAATATAACAAACCCAATAATCTGGAAAATTATATCTCCCCCATTTCTATATGATAGTCTCATTTTAAATAAAGGAAATTTAGGTGTTTGTCTTTACCATAATACCCTAATACCTAATCAATATGCCTGAAATAACTTGGCTTAGGAAAGCTTTAAAAATATTACCAATCTTGAACTGATACTTATTTTTACGACATTTAGACTCAGTGGAATATTTAGCTTTCTATTTATATGAATTTTAAGCTGAAATAAGATTCTCAGATTCACAATGTCTTTTTAAATAAATAGATTATTCCCATCAAGAAAGAAGATAGGGAAGAAGGCTTAATGGCTAAAGATTACAAATTTGACTGGATGCTCTATGAAATTACTATTGTAGGTTGAAAGATTTATCTGGAAGCAGCTTAGCATACTGCAGGACACAGGGTTTATTGAAGAAGAGTTGAATTATACTCTCCCCAGGGAGAGACATTTTCCCCAAACNATAGATTATTCCCATCAAGAAAGAAGATAGGGAAGAAGGCTTAATGGCTAAAGATTACAAATTTGACTGGATGCTCTATGAAATTACTATTGTAGGTTGAAAGATTTATCTGGAAGCAGCTTAGCATACTGCAGGACACAGGGTTTATTGAAGAAGAGTTGAATTATACTCTCCCCAGGGAGAGACATTTTCCCCAAACGTATTCCTGTGCCTTTAGTAGTAGATTGACTTTGTAATAGAAGTATGTGCTAAAGCTTACTTTCATGTGATTAGTATATTAAACTGCAAAGTTTAGACAGATTTTATAGTCATGGTAGCAATTCAAGTTCCTGTTACAGGTAGTCCTCAACATATGACCACAATTGAGCCCAAAATTTCTGTTGTTAAGTGAGCTTTGCCCCAATTTGCCACTTTTCTTGTCACTCCAGTTGTTAAGTTAGTACCACAGTTGTTAAGTGAATCTAGCTTCTCCCACTGACTTTACTTGTCAGAATTTTGCAAAAGGTAATCACATGACCCCGTGTCACTGCAACTGTCATAAATACATGCAAGTTGCTAAGTTTCTGAATTCACATGACCATGGGGATGCTGCAATGATCATGTAAAAAACAATCATAAGTCACTTTTTTCAGTGCTGTTGTAACTTTAAGCGATTACTAAGTGAATGGTTGTAAGTGGAGGACTACCTGTACTGTCCTCCCCAAATTAATATTCACTTATCAGTCATTGTTTGAAAGCCTGCTAGTTGTTAAGTTAGCCTGATCATATATGCTTTGAACCATTGATTGACATCTGTCCAAGTCTGTGATAGTTGCTTGGAACAGCTTTGCATTCTGTGTTTTGAATATGTAAATGCTAGATAGAAAAACAACTAATATTTTTAAAAATGAGATGTATAGCTATTCCTCTCTTTCCTTATTATATAAATAGCTCTATTTATATACATATTAACAGACACTTATCTGCTTTTGCTGCTTTTTATACTCCTGCTTTTTCCCTCCATCCTTGTATTGTGTATTGTTCCTTTTGTGTGAAATAATCTTTTTTTGTTTTGTTTCTCATCCAAGAAGCATCTTCAGTTCTGAACTGAAGATGTTTCTTGAATGAGAATCAAAGTGTTTTCAACAGAAAAAACACAGAAAGTCCAGTTACCTTTTGAAAAAGGCAGTTGTCCTTTGGGACACCCATAACCTGGATAACTGAGAATTTCCATAGACATGGATGCAGAATGCTTACATTTCAGTAAGGCGTTTAATAAAGTAGACACAGCCTACTGTACTTCTTGGAAAAATACAACAATGCAGGATAGACTGTGTACCACTGCCAGATTGATCTGCAGTTGATTGCACTCAATGGAGCTACATCTACATTGTGGGAAGTATGCAGTAGGATTGCTCAAGGTTCTATCATGGGCTCAGTGCTCTTCAACATCTTCATAAATGACCTAGATGAAGGGATTGAAGGGATGTATATCAGATTTGCAGTTGACATAAAGCTGGGGGAAATTGCTAACATTTTGGAAGATAGACTCGAGATTCAGAAGGATCTTGACAAACTAGATGCAATTCATCTAGTGATAAGTGGTAAGAAAAATAAAGTTCTACACTTAGGCAAGAAAAACCAGATGCATAGGTACAGATAGGCCATACCTGGCTCAAAGGTAGCCATACCTGGCTCAAAGGCTCAAGATCCTAAGAGAGGGATCTAAGTGTGCTGGTAGACCACATTTAAATATGAGTTAGCAGTGGGCTGCAGCTGCCAGAAAAGCCAACACAATCCTAGGTTGCATCAACAGAGGGATAGTATCAAGATCACAGGAAGTGATAGTATTGCTTATACCAGTGGTGGCGAACCTATGGCACGGGTGCCAGAGGTGGCACTCAGAGTCCTCTCTGTGGGCACACGCGCCATCGCCCCAGTCCTAGGCCTTCAGCTGGGTTTTATAAAACCTTTTCGCTTTAGGCCTCCGCCGCCGTGTGCCAAAAAAAAAAAAAAAGTTTCAATCAATCAGTCAATTTCAACTTCTCGCTGGAAAAAAAAAGATCTTGCAAAGTTGGAATTGATTGATTGAACTTTTTAGTCCCACCCAGTCTGCTGTTACCACTGCAGCCATGCCCACCGCAGCCACACCCACCCAATTGGCCACGCCCAGCCAATGGGCCACACCCACCCGGCACCCGACAATGCATAAATGGGTTTGGGGTTGCAGTTTGGGCACTTGGTCTCTAAAAGGTTCGCCATCACTGGCTTATACCACACTGGTGAGGCCATATTTAGAATACGGAATCTACTTTACTGGATGGAGAGTCTGGACATTAATTGGTGGTAGAGATTGTATTTTGTAGGCAGAATATCTTAAGTCTAGTATGATATAAAGAGGTTTAGATAGGGAGATATTTCAGATATTTCATTCAGATATTTCAAAATTGGATTTATTCAGAATAAAGCAATTTAATAAACATGTCGTGCTTTTTAAAATTCAGGTTAATTCTTTCCAATCCTGAATGTGAGTTGAAATCCTTCTATTGTCTATGTAGTCCACTAGAGCAGAGGTCCCCAACCTTTTGGGCATCAGGAACCGGTTCCATGGAAAGAGGTTTTTCCATGGACAGGAGGGTGTGTGGTTTTGTCTGCTGCCTGCATCCCGCAGATGGGCCTTTGCTTGTTTATGCGGACCAGTTGATGGCAGGCCATGGCCCAGTACTGATCCATGGACCGGGGGTCAGGGACCCCTGCACTAGAGGTGAGCAACCTGAAGCCCTTCAGGCTTTTGGGGCCAGACCTATTGAAGCTGTGGCCCTTAAACGCTGACTGAATGTTATGGGAGTTGTAGTCTAAAGATTGCTTTCACTGCAATATGGTAATAGGGGGATGCTACAATCAATAGCAGTCTCTCATATGGATAAGAAAGGAAGCTCAATTGCCTCATCTTCCATACCTCAATCTTTTGGAGAAGGAATGAGCAGTGTATTTGAGTATGACTAATGCAGAGGATTAATGTGAGTTATCATTCATCAGAGTTTGGAAGGCCACCTATAACCTACTCTATTTCTATATAAATATTTCTCTTGGAATGACCGATAACTGTAATTTATCCTTTTTTCATTCAAGATCTTATCCAATGTTGCTGTCTATCTGTGCACTATCTGTGTGGGTATCATGTCTTACTACATGGCAGACCGCAAGCACCGCAAAGCCTTCCTAGAAGCTCGGCAATCTCTGGAGGTCAAGCTCAACCTTGAGGAACAAAGTCAGCAGCAGGTAAGAATCAAAGAGTTCCATCTGTAGCTTCTACTTTGTTTCTGGCTTATATCCAGACAATCTATTTACAATAGACAATCTATTTACAATAGACAATCTATTTTCTTAGTTTTTGATTTCTAGATTTGTATGTAGGTACATAGGAATGTGCATGGCAGAACTATTTTTGCATCAAATTTACTGGGCCCATCTCTGAGAAAGTTACTGGCCCAATTTGAGCTTACTTGTGAGAGGCATGATAGTTTCTATTCAGAGGATTTTGCCTCTTTCCTGGAGTTTAGAACTTCTCATTTAAGCTTGCATCTCATTGGGAAGATTCTTCCTTGTTTATACTATTATAGATTAGTTGTTTTCAGTGAAATCAAGAAAGAGACCGTGGTGACAGTGCTGTTCCCATAGCAACCCATTCTCTCTCTGTATCTGCTACCAAAGAGTAACCCTCTCCAGGCCCTCAGTAAAAATGCACTTAATAATCAAGTTATTTTCATTCAGAGCAATTCCCAAAACAAAATTAGAGTATGCTTTTGAAGCAGAAACTTCATGAAGATGGCTAACTGAATAAAATAAATCCTCAATTTGACAGAATATTTGTTTTCCATGCAGCTTGTCTTCTCTTGTGAGCCTATATGCTAAATTAGACTCCAGTTGTGGGCTCACCATTGAATTAAGTAGAATAGATAGAATGAGCTGAACCCAACAACCCCTTTCGGATGGAGCACAGAAGAAGGTCAGATTTAAGTTGAAGATTTCTAATGTAGCCAGAAGACAAGCAATGTAGAGCTATAAAAATTAAAACTTATATTTTGAATTGTGTTGAAAAATCTATTGGTAACCAGTGCAATACTCATAATATAGATAGAATCCTGTTAAAGAAGCCCTTACCAACCAGTAAGTGAATTGATACATTTTGGGCCAACAATAGTTTCCAAATAATTCTTCAAAGGCAATTCCAAGTTACATTAAAAACTGAGTTATATTTTGGCTGTTCTCGGCATTTTCAACTCACCAGTAATCTGGACAGTTAAGAAAGACTGGAGATATAGTCTGATAGGCTTCAACTTTAAACACCATAAACTGGTACCTAGAGAGCTAAAATAAAGGTATACCAAAATCTATCTTTCCGATATACTCTGAATTATCCTTCATGTCTGGAGTTTTCTGCAATTTAAAACTAGAGAAATAATTCATTCTTAGCTCAAAAAGCGGGCTTTGAACCTCTGATTATAATTAAAAATATTTTTTCTGACATGAATATATTTGATTTTCAGAAAAAAAATGTGTGCAGAGTTAAATTTCTATATATCAGTCAGTTTCCTGTACATGCACGTACACACACACACACAGAGACAGACAGACAGACACACACACAGAAATAAAATTAATCTCGCTCAGAATATTGGAGACAGGAGAGAAAAATTATTTAAAATTGTATAGGTGAGGCATATAGAGAGAAGAATTGGTAGATTAAGTCATAGATTAAGCCCTGTATTTCTCCCTACAAATGTTCCTTCTCCTGCATTGATGTTGGCAACAACATTTTTCCTGTGATTATGAGTAATTATGGTAAAATTTAGCGTGGGTGAGATCTCAAAGCTGAAAGCTCTTTTGCAAAAGAGGTCAGTAGGTCTTTTGTTGGTGTGGCGTAAACACACAGCAGAATTATGTCCTAAAATCTAATGCAATATATTAAGAAATACTGCGAAGTGATACCAGTGTGAAACGTTGCTTCCCAGCGTACAGCATTATGTACAATATTTCTTCATAGATGTGATAGATGATAGTGTTGCCTCTAATGCAAAACCCCCCCAAAACAAAAAAAACCAAACCCTACAAGATACTGTTATCAATTTTTGTTAGTTCTACAGTACAGGGACAAATTAATCTTCCACTTTGTCCGAAATGGCATAGGGCAGGGCTTTTCAACCAGTGGTACGGGTACCACCTGTGGTACATTGGCACTTGGCAGGTGGTACGCAACCATCCTAGAAAAGTGGTAGCGGGGGAGGGGAATGAGCTGAACCAGTGGCAGCACCACACAAGCCTGAGCGAGAGATGGCTGGAGCTGCAGGGCTGTCAGGGCTCAGTGGAAGCGCCAGGATCAGTGCCAGGCTCCAGCTGGAGCTCGGCGCTGATCCTGGTGCTTCTGCTGAGCCCTGAAGAAGCACCAATCAGCTGGAAAGCAGCACTGATCCTGACGCTTCTGCTGAGCCCAGAAGAAGCGCCGATCAGCTGAATGTTGCAGCATCTCCAGGGTCTTGTGATTTACATTCAGATGCTTGGCAACTGATTCATATTTATGACGGTCACAGTGTCCCAGGGTCATGTGAAGTGAGCAAAACCTGCTGCAACCACCCAGCAGACGGGGGGAATAAAAACCAAACATCCCCCACCCCACCCCAGCTGCTAATCCTCAACAGAAATGCTCACAACAATGAAAACCTCGGACAGGAGGAAGAGCATGGCTGGGTGGGCAGGTAGGTGTCTTGCTCGGCTGTGGCTTTTCTAGGATGGTCGCGTACCACCTGCCAAGTGCCAATGTACCACAGGTGGTACTCGTACCACTGGTTGAAAAGCCCTGCCCTATACCATTTCGGACAAAGTGGAAGACTAATTTGTCCCTGTACTGTAGAACTAACAAAAATTGATAACAGTATCTTGTAGGGTTTGTTTTTCAGTGCCATTGTAACTTCAAACAGTCACTAAGTGAACTGTTGTAAGTCGAGGACTACCTGTACTTTATCAATTTTTTCCTTTTTTTTTTTTTGGTCATCAAGTTTTTGACACCTTGCTAGGCAACTGGTGGTACTCGGATGTTGCCATATCCTAAAAGTGGTATAATGGGTGAAAAGGTTGAAAAGCCCTGGTATAGGGTTTCCTGCCTGAGCAGGGGGTTGGACTAGATGACCTCCAAGGTCCCTTCCAACTTTATTATTATTGTTGTTATTGTTGTTTTTGTTGTTGTTGTTGTTGTTGTTCTTCTTCTTCTTCTTCTTATTATTATTATTATTATTATTATTATTATTATTATTATTATTACTTTTGTTTTTCTACTAAAGTCTTCCATCCTTTTTCTTCTCCCACCTCCATTTTTATTGTAATGTTATAAATCTGGATATATTGTAATATTTCAATGCAGATTATAATACAGTCATATTTATATAACATGATAAAAAATTAACATTCTGTTATTTAAATCACACAAGGTATTAAACTAAAAAAAGATAAAAGTAAAAGTTACGTCAGTATTAATTGCCAGGATGTAATGTTACAAGCGTAAGAGTATTTAACTTTTCATCCAGTTGAATATAAAATAAAAAGCACTGCAATTCACATTAAAATATTAATTTTATGATAATAGTGTTCATGTTGAACTTAATATTTAGATAATTTTATTGTTAATTATATGTGTGGGTGTGTATGTATGTTGATAAAAAGAAAGAAAAGCTAGGTGAAACAAATTTAATAAAAGTTAAAATACTAAAAAGTATTTTTAGTATTTCTTTTCCATTCCATATAAAAGAATAAAAAGAAAAAGAGAATTTTAAAAAATTATTGATTTCTGGCTTTCCTGTTTTATACATTTGTTAATTTGCAATATTTGTAAGCATTCAGGCTCTCTTAAAAGCCAGACTATAAAATGGTTATATTTATTATATTTCTTGTATGCAAGGGAAGCTTTTGTGCTTAAATTTATTTAAACTTCTGTTGTGTACATATACTGTTAGTTTTCCAATTGCTGCGCATTCTTCAGGTTTAAGTTGCCAACTGGATAATTTTCAGGTCTGTATTTTTGTGTTGGAATGGATTTCCAGGAGGAAGGGGCTGCATTCCAGAGGACCAAGAAATAGTGTAATTTAGACAAGTTTGTTTGGGAAAAAGAGAGTCAAGATAGCTCATTCATAGAAATTTTTAGAACATATCTTTAATGATGAAAACTTAGTTTTGCAAGATTTCTGCCTATAGGTGAGAAACAATAAAGGAAACTGCTTAAAAGTATCTCTACAGGTCTTTCATGGATTTTGGAGCCTGACAGTTTTTCTTCCAGTTTTGAGCAAAACTTATTCTTGGTATATTAAGCACATATCTTGTTAAATTATGATATTTCTTGTTATTTTTTCTGAGACTGTACCTAATAGGAACAGTTGTGGTTTCATTTCAAATGTACATTCCAAAATTTTCTACATTATACTATGCAGATCTTTTCAATACTTTTGAGGTCTTTTACATATCTTTTATATGTTCTCCTCTGATTTTGCCTAAGTAAGTAACTGTTTTGGTGATAATAAATAGCAATTCAATGAGCATGAGTCTGATTTTTCATCAAGACAGCAATATGGGGGGAAATATTTAAACTTCTTTCTCCTGTGTTGAAATCCTGATCGGTATTGGGGAGTGGGAAATATAATTGTGTTTTGTGTGAAAAATAAGTGGTATTAAAGGATGCTGTTAACTAAGATCTAGTTTCACTTCAGAGGTAAAATAGGAATTATTCCAAATACCTAAAGATCAAGACACATTCTAGCCCACCCTTGCGCAGATGAAGAAGGAGTTATACAAAAGAAGCAGATATGTCTCAGTTTGGTTTCAAAATGCAACATTTTTAGTGCATAATATTTTGGCTGGAGGCTTGTAAGCAACTATGTGCCAAGCTGGATGAAGAGAATGCATACTGAAAGATTCAACACATTTTCATTTCAAACTGCAAGCAGTTTAACATGTATGCTTTACTTGGGCTGATGTAGATTAAGAGAAAAGAAGAATATTAGAAGAGATGATTCCTTCTGTCTCTTTTAACAAAATAAAATGTCTTTGTTTTCCTTCCATCCCACAATTCCAATCATATCTCTTCACTTCTTGTAACTGAACCTTGATGTAAAATGGAGTCACTATGGCAACCCATTTCCAAGACAGCAAAAGGCAAATATTTCCAGACTAGTCAAACGGTTGGTGTGAGAAAAAATACAGCGAGCAGCAAGAAAAGGTTTCTGTATTGCCCAGGC